ATAAGACATTTTTTTTAAATATTTATCTTTATTTGAAAGAGTGACAGAGAGGGAAAGACAAAAAAAGAGAGATCTTTTGTCCTTGCGTCCCCAAATGACCAAGAGAATCAGGATTGTGCCAGGCCAAAGCCCAGAGCCAGGAACTCCATCCAGGTCTCCCACGTGGGTGGCAGGGATCCAAGGACTTGGGCCATCTTCCACTGCCTTCCCAGGCACAGTAGCAGGAATGTTGATGACACAAATGGCACCTTAAACCACTGTGCCATACCACCAGCCCTGCAGGACATTGTTTATCTAAATTTATCACAGGGGAGCACAGAAGGCTGACCACTAAAAGATGTTCAAGTATAAAATAAATTGGATAAAGTTCTGTGGGAGACACGGAAATAAAATACAAGAAAAAAGAAGAACCCCAGCCGGCGCTGCGGCTCACTAGGCTAATCCTCCGCCTAGCGGCGCCGGCACACCAGGTTCTAGTCCCGGTCGGGGCGCCGGATTCTGTCCCGGTTGCCCCTCTTCCAGGCCAGCTCTCTGCTGTGGCCAGGGAGTGCAGTGGAGGATGGCCCAAGTCCTTGGGCCCTGCACCCTATGGGAGACCAGGATAAGCAACTGGCTCCTGCCATCGGATCAGCGCAGTACGCCGGCCGTGGCGGCCATTGGAGGGTGAACCAACGGCAAAGGAAGACCTTTCTCTCTGTCTCTCTCTCTCACTGTCCACTCTGCCTGTCAAAAAAATAAAAATAAAAAAATTTAAAAAAAAGAACTTTAAAAAAAAAAAACAAGAAAATCTCACTAAAGAATACTAATGCAAATAAATGGATAAAGGCGATTACCAACCACTATAGTCTTTAGAATCCACCATTTATAAAAATAGCACTGCAGTAAAATGTCAACATATACAATATACTGGAAATTTTATATTTTGAAACTCTGAACCACAGATTTCAAAATGTTAAATATAAATTTTAATGGCCATCACATATGGTCTCTCAAAATTGTTCTGGGCAAAATACAAGCAAAAAACTGGAGAATCAGTTGTCTGTGTTGACAATGGGAATATGTAAGTGCAATGAGCAGTGAGGAAAAGCACACCTCAAAACAGTGCATGCTAAGAATGCAGATGCCCAAATGTGCAGTGTTTGCACAGTGGTTTGCAGCAACAGGAGAGAAGGCAAATTCCACAGATTACCAGGAGCTAATCTTCAAATAATCTGCTGCTGGGACACGTACACATGTTTAGTTTCTGGCCAAATTTGCTTCAGGCTTCCTGGAAAATGGGAAAATATAACCTAGAAGCTGTTATTTGAGTTTTTTAAGATTTATTTATGTATTTGAAAGTCAGAGTTAGAGAGGGAAAGAGGCTTCCACCTGCTGGTTTGCTCTCCAGATGGCTGCAACAGCCAGCACTGTGTCAGGCCAAAGCCAAGAGCCAAGAATGACCTCTCAGTCTCCCACGTGGGTGGCGGGGCCCCAAACACTTGGGCCATCCTCCACTGCCCTCCTGGGCCACAGCAGAGAGCTGGACTGGAAGAGGAGCAGCCGGGATTAGAACTGCCGCCCATATGGGATGCCGGCGCCACAGGCAGAGTATCAACCTACCGCGGCACCCCCCCCCAGTTGGCATTTTAACAGATGCCCATCTGCAGCTGGCTGACGTGATGCACGTGTTTCCTTTCAGCAACAAGAGAAACGCGAGGGCCTTAGAGTCTGCTGGGGACTCTGATTCGACATCGCTGCTTCTTCCAGGTTCACTAAACTCAAAGCCAGAGATGGCCTTTTCACTGATTGAAATGATAATGCTAAACGCATCTAGCATAAATTACTACTGAAGCAAGGAATTTACATCATTGTTTATAAAAATTCAGTCTGGAAAAAAAATGCCCCCCCATTCTACCTTCCTTGGTGCAACTAAAAGAAGATGTCCTTTTATTAGATGAGGAATTTAAAAATGAATATCAAAGGGAAAAAAGAAAAAATAAGTATCAGCACCTGCCATTTAACCTGGAGCAAGAAAGCAAAGCTCTGCTAACATCTGCAATAACTGACTGTGCTAACAGGATTACCCTGAAGCCTCATAATCCCACTGATACATCAGCAACAAAAAAAAAAAAAAAAGAGAGAGCGAGAGAGAGCGAGAGCGAAAGGTATGTGAGGGATCACACATCCGCTTTTCAGATTTCAAAGTCACAGCAGGCTAGTTCCCTGGAGTGACCCAAAGAACAGGCTCTACAGTCAAACTGTCTGGGTGGAACCCAGGCTCAGCAATGTACCAGGCGGCGCATGAAAGTGGTCCATTTAACCGGGGCCTGGCACTGTGGCACAGCCAGCAAAGCCACTGCCTTCCCATTGCTGGCCTCCCAGTGGGCACCACTTGAGTCCCCGCTGCTCCACTCCCAATCCAGCTCCGTGCTAATGCGCCTGGGAAAGCAGTGGAAGAAGGCCCAAGTCCTTGGGCCCTGCACACACATGGAGGACCCAGAGGAAGCCCCTGGATCCTGCGTCAGCCTGGCCCAGGCCTGGCCATTGTGGCCATTTGGGGAGTGAACGAGTGCATGGAAGACCTCTCTCTCTCTGCCTTTCAAATAAATTTTTTTAAAAATGTTATTTAACCTCTCCTAACTGGGACTTATTTCACTGTCTCAGTTTCCCCATCTCATACTAAATACTCAACTAATTTGAGTTCCTATCATTGCTATTGCAAAGAAAACAGGAAAACTTTGCCAATATTGACGTCCTCTGCTAACTTATCATCAAAAAATTTAGCACTAAGGGAATTCTAATATTTGTATGTGTTTTCTTAAACACAAGTATAACTGCATGCTTCTAGTGGGTATGCAGTTTAGGCAATCAGCTTACCCAAAGTGAGCTTAGGCCTCAAACCATTTGCAGAAGGAATGAATTAAGAACAGCAGACTAACAGATATACTCCAGGTAGCTCTCAACTAAGAGTATTCCTTACCTAGAAGTTTGTTCCATTTTTTCGACCTCTATGTAGTGGCCCAAAGTAGGAAGGGGGGGGAGGGTGAACCTTATGAATTCTGCAGGTAGACAACTGGCCATTTCACAGCTAGAACCCACTGTGACGTTCTTCTCCTGATCATTTCAATCATCTGGTGCACGTACACCATGGGGTTTGAGAACCAGGAGACCTCGGGAAGATTAATCTATCTTGTCCCGCTTAATCTTTTGGCACCAAGAATGGTATCCCTAGCAAGACAAAGCGTAAACAGTACTTCAGACTCTGGGAAGTACAAGGAACCTTGGAGGTCACCACCCAAACCAAAATGAAGGCAGAATCTGCCCACATCCCCCTTATCTAGGTGGGACTGAACAGGACAACACAGTGACGGTGGTGGCGGCTACAGCGTCCATGCAAGTGCAGCACTGCACTAAGCATTTACACGCGCTAACACACCTCATCATGAAAGCGAGAAAACGCAAGAAAATGTAAGGTGGAATTTTTAAGATCATCCCAACAAAAGGATAAAAGCCTACAACTTTAATAGACTGGTTTTTACTATTAGTATAAATCAAAAGTCCTACTATTCTCTCAACGACATATCATCATTCCACTCATTTTAGATCAACAGATGAACAAGACAGAAGCCACTTCCCTTGCTAAATGCAAACAAGTTAAAGATACTCCTAAGAGGCGGTGCCCAGACACTGCAGGGGGTACCAACAATACCATTACTACGTTTACTATTAAAGCATGAGCCTGCAGCCAAGGAGTGCCCTCTTCGTTTTCAGTAAAATCGAGCCTGGGTCTCAAAAATGTAAAAGTGTGGCTTCAGGGTAGCATGGTTTAAGTCCAGCTCTGGCACTAGCTGTGAAGACTTCAGCAAATTAGTTAACCTGTGAAAAGTAAGAATTTTGTATGCGTGTATGTGTGTGCGCGTGTGTGTGTATATACATTTGCTTGCAATAAGGACAAAATGTGATATACAGTGAATACTGGGATGGTATTAACTCCTCATTTCCTTCCACAAACTATCAAGTAACCTGACACTAAACCTTTCCTGCTACCTCACTCAAGCTTTGCTTGTTACCTACCTCAATCCTAACAAGATCAAATTTAAATATCAAGATCTACATGTTTGAATGTTTTACAATTTTCCCAACTCTATGTTTCTCCATATAATACCATCTTTAGAGATATTTTTGTACTGTGCCTTTGGAATACTACAAATTTTAGCAATAGGAAATTCTGCCACAATCAAAAGAATTTTTTTCATCTATGCAGATCAAGAACTGAAAATACACAGTACTGCACTGCAGATGTTAAAATGACAGAACAGCTCCTGAAAAGATCTAACTGCTTTATCGGGGATATAAGTAGGGTTAGAGTGTCGCATGCCTCATCCCCTGCTCCAATTTCTGAGAAATTTCTATGAACATGTGACTAGGATGTATCACGTTGGTATTCAAATTCAGATCTGGCTGCAGAACATTTAAATTCAAATGGCAAAGGCCGGTGACACCTGACTTGCACACGTACGTGTGACATAAAACTGCTACAAAAAAAGAGAACCACATCAATCAATCAGTCAATCTTACATTACAATCTTACATCTGATTCCGCCCCTAAATTATGAAGATCCTGTCCGCAGGACTTTCCATCCAGACTCTCACTAGGCGCCTACAGTATGCCGGGCATTGCAAAAAGCAGCGACAAAACAGACACCCCCGCCCCCCAGTAAAGGACGACCTTGGCTCTAGGCCCCCGCAGACAGGGCCGCACCCTAGCACGGCCCGGCCGGCCCCGGGGCCCCAGAGCCGCCCCGGCTTGGCGACCACGCGGCTCGCGGGCCCCGGGCTGCTCCGGGGAGACCCCGCGAAGCTCTCCCGCCCGCCCCGCAGCGGGCAGCTCGGGGCGCCACGTGCACACCCGGCGCGCCAGCGCCGCGCAGGCGCCGTCGCCGCCGCCCCGCGCCCGCTCGCCCGCACGTCCGCGCGGCCCCCGCCCCGCCGCCCCGGCCCCACCGGCCGCCGCTGCTTACCGGCGCGCTGGGGCCGGCGCCCCGGCCTGCCGGCTCCCGGCGGCCGCCTCGCGGGGCTCCTCCTCGGCCTCCACGGCTGCCGCGGGAGCCCCGGCCGCGGCCCCGGCGGCCGCCCCCGTCGCCTCTCGCCCCCGCCGCCGCGGAGCCGGCCCGCTCGCGGTCGCGGTCCCCGCCGGGCCGCCTGCCGCGGCCGCCGCGACCTCCTCGCTCCGCCTGCATCGGGCCGCCGCCGGCGGTGCTGCACGCGCGGAGCCGGGCCGCGGCGGAGACGGCCTCGCCCCACCGGAAGCGGGCCGCACGGAGGAGCCGCGCGCCGCAGGCCCCGGCGGCGGCGGGTGCGGGGCACGGGGTGCGGGGCCGGGGATGGGAGCCGGCGGGGGCGGGGCGGCCCGCAGTCCTGGCTGGAGGGGCCGGAGCCGGGCCCGGGAGGCTGCCCTGCGAGTGGGGACGGGGCCCGAGACACCGGCGGCGGGGAGGGGAGAAGGACTGTACTGAGAAGAAAGGAGCGCTAAGGCATTAAATGGTTGTAGGACGTGAACTCATTTTTGTAAAAATAATAAACATTGTTCGCATAAGCAGAGGTTCCCTAGGAGCTGAGACTGGGTGCTAGTGAGCCAGTTTTCCTTTGCTCCTGTTTCCTCTCAGGTCGGTGCTGAGGCGTAAGGAAGGGGGTCTCCGGTGGGCTGCGGCTTGGGTGCAAGGCTAGGAGCGGCCGCGGGGGCCCGGAGAGGGTTCGCGGCAGTGAGTAGAACAGCTGAAGCTCATGGAGCCGCGTCAGGATTCGGTTCTTTTTACAGCCCTGTGGGACAGATGCCAGCTTCCTCGTTTTGCAGCTGAATTAACTAGAAACGTTTAACACCTTGCCTGCAGTGAGAGAGCTAGTTAACAGTGGAACTGGCAGTCTCACTCCAGCACCAGTCTTCTAACCAAAGACGACTGGGGGAGGAGGAGTTGGTCACACAGATGCACCAGAGTCCTCTGTACTACCAAAAGCCACTTGAAAATAATAAAAGGGCTAGAGGCCGGCGCCGCGGCTCACTAGGCTAATCCTCCGCCTAGCGGCGCCGGCACACCGGGTTCTAGTCCCAGTCGGGGCGCCGGATTCTGTCCCGGTTGCCCCTCTTCCAGGCCAGCTCTCTGCTGTGGCCAGAGAGTGCAGTGGAGGATGGCCCAAGTGCTTGGGCCCTGCACCCCATGGGAGACCAGGAGAAGCACCTGGCTCCTGCCTTTGGATCAGCGCGGTGCGCCGGCCGCAGCGGCCATTGGAGGGTGAACCAACAGCAAAGGAAGACCTTTCTCTCTGTCTCTCTCTCTGTCCACTCTGCCCAAGGGCTAGAACAGCCCAGCAAAACAAGGGTTTTCTTCCTTTCCCATCCTTTTCCTGTAACCAAACATAGTTAACACTGTTCATTGCTTTTAATTGCCTATTCTGAGTCAGGCACATTGCTATGTCCTACAATAAAAAAAAATTTTTTTTTTTATTTTCCCTGCCCACAGCAGTTCACTGACCACAGGAAGATAACCCCTGTAAACAGAGGAGTACAGTGTTTGAATACAGTGAGGAGTTCAAGGTTAAGGCCCGAAGAAGAAACAAACTGTGCTTAAGTGTGTCGCCTGAAGCTTCCTAAGAAATAGACTGAGCTGAACTGGAGTCTGTGGGGCTGGTAAGAGTGGGTGAGGTTCCCAGGCAGAAAGAGGCACTGAAGGATTTTCAGCTGGCAGAAAAATGCCTTGACACCAACTGGAGCTGGCATTGTACAGCAGGTTAAGCCTCTGCCTGCTGCTCAGATTCCAGTCCAGCTCCCTCCTCAAGCACCTGGGGAAGCAGAGGAAGCTAGCCCAAGTGTTTGGGCCCTGCACCCACTGGGGAGACATGGAAGAAGCTGCTGGCTCCTGCTTTGGCCTGGCCCAGCCCTGGCCATTGTGGGCATTTAGGAAGTGAACTAGCAAGTGGAAGACTTACCTGTGTGTCTCCCCCTCTCTAATTCTGCATTGAGTAAAATAAAACAATAATACTCATTTTGGAGTCATTGCTATGCACTAAACCCCATTCTAAGCGCTTCCTTATATCATTTCACTTGGACTTCACAGAAGTCCCTATTAGGTAAACTGGTGTTATCCTTACTTTATACTTGTAGGTCAGGGACCTAAAACAGATGTTAATTCACTTCTGCAACACAGCCACACAGATAGTAATGGGATGATCCAAACCATGGGTGGCCCAGCTTCAAAATCTACACTCTTAACCACTGCACTCTCAGAAAATCCAGGAAGGAGAATCAGAATTCCAGGCAGAGCCGTTACAGATCGCTGGAACAGGCTAGGCCACAAGTGATTAAAGATCTGATTCAAAGCCAGGAAAGCAAAATGGGACAGGGAGGAGACGAGAGAAATGGGATGTTGTGTCCAATTGTAAATAAGGAGGTCAGGGACTGAGAAATCAGGGGTGCTGTCCAAGTTTCTTGCTTGAGTGACCAGATAGTTAATCACACCATGATCTAAGGGAGGGAACACAGGGCTGACTTTGGCTTGGCCCAGCCCTGGCTATGGCAGGCATTTGGGGAGTGAACCCCTGGGTGGGAAATGGATCACCTGTTTGCTCTCTCTCCCCTCCCCCCACCTGCCTTTGGAATAGATAAAAAATAAACATTTTTAAGTGATTAAGATGGCAACTTTTTTTAAATGCTATTACTATTTCTGTTTTACACTTATTAAAATGGAGACCTAAAGAAGCTAATTTGCACAGCCTAATAAGGGAGAGATCTGGGATTAGTACCAGGACAGCGCAATTGCAGAACTCATGTCCATGTGTCTGTGTTGTGGTTGACATCCAAAGTCCAGGAATGACCCAACCCTCTGTACATTCAAGGTTTTTCTTTCAGTTCAACCACAAGTGTTTAGGATACAGAAAATTCCAAGGCCCCTACTAATGCTTCCTGCCGGAGGCCACCAGCTGACGTTCTTGGCTGCTTTCCCCTGATCCATTTGGGAAAACTGTCTGTCATTGAGAATGAAAAGGCCACCCAAGCGCCTCCTGCACTGACTTCATAAATAACAAAGGGAAGGAGCATTTTCCAGTATCACTTTTACTTGAAAGTCCTGATTTTAAATATATGCCATTGCATGAATAAAAAAATTCCATTTTCCCTTTGGTAGGATTCATGAGAATTCATGAAGTATCAAAAACAAAGTGCTGAATTACATAGGTAGTGGAGGAAAATAGACTGCACATTTTGTATATTTTTATAAATATGGCCTATTTTTTTTAAAGGAAGTCAGTTCCTTAAGGTAGTAATTCTCAAAACATGAACCAGCAACATAGCAAAGCCAGAGAACTTGTTAGAAATGCAAATTCTTGGGCCTCATTCCAGACTCAAAAACTCAGGATGAGGTCCATGTAGGGTGGGAGTTGGTCCAGCTGTTAAGATGCTGCTTGGCTCCCCCCACACCCCCACCCCCCGGCATTGTGGCATAGCAGGTGAGGCCACAGCTTGGCATCCCAATAAGGGCCCAAGTTCCTGTCCCAGCTGCTGTACTTCCAATCCAGCTGCTTGCTAGTGGCCTGGGGAAATCAGCAGAGGGCGGCCCAAGTACTTGGGTCTCTGGCACCTACGTGGGAGACCCAAATGGAGCTCCTGGCTCCTGGCTTTGGCCTGGCCCCATTGCAGCTATCTGGAGAACGAACCAACAAATGGAAAATCATCCTCCCACCCCATAAGTGTTTCAAAATAAATAAATAAATCTTTAAAAAAAAATGCTTCTTGGGGCATCTGCTTTTCATACAGGAGTATATGGTCCAAGTCCCTGCTACTCTGCTACCAATAAGCACCCTTGGAGACAGCAGTGGTGGGCCAAATACCTGGTCTCTGCCACCCATGGGGGAGTCTCAGATAGAGTCCCCAGCTCTTAGCTTCAGCCTGGTTCAGTCCTGGCCATTGTGGGCATTTGGGGAATAAACCAGCAGATAGATCTATCTGCCTTTCAAATATTTTTTTAAGATTTATTGACTTATTTTAAAGGCAGAGTTATGGAGGGAAGAGAGGCAGAGGCAGAGAGAGAGAAGTCTTCTACCTGCTGGTCCATCAGCACCCATTTGAAATGTTGGCAACGCAGGCGTTGGCTTACTCAGCTACGCCACAGGCCCCTCAAAGAAAATTTTGAAAAACTAAACCTACCAAGTGATTCTGAGCCATGTTCAAATTTTACAACACTGTCTCAGTGTAGTATTTAAGGCTGCAACTAACACAAGAAAAACACATAATTCCTAGTGTAAGACAACAGATCCAGGTTTTCAGTGTTTGATGAAAAGTAAATGATAATACTGGAAAAAACAATGCACTGTCTTCTTGGGAAGGTCAGTGTTGTGTGACAGATACACCTGCACAATTCCTCTCTCCCTAGGCAGGCAGATGCTGACTTCATGAACAATACGAACTGGAACACACTGATGTCTTTTATTTACTACCAACTTGGTTTGCATCTGCTGTTGAGGGCTCTCACAGGCCTCAGGGAGCCCAGAATCTGCAGCCTGCGTGCTGGCGGAGATAAGGGGGAGTGGACAGCCTGCCAGGTCATCGTGGTACTTTGGCTTCAAGGATTGGGGTCAGGATGAGAGAACTCCGGGAAACAAATGGAGCTAAAACCTAAAATGCAGAATATGTGATTTGATGAATTCTCCTCTCCTTCCATCCTCTTAGTTGTTGGCCACATCAAGGAGGAATTGAAGAATCAGAATTTCCCCCACTGCCATGCCTGTACTCATGTGCTCTGCTTCTCCTCCCACTGTGGAGGGGCCTGTACTCCGGTCTGAGGCCAAGACCTACACCAGATGCTCTTTTCCCTGTTCAGCTGCCTGAGGACATCTGCCCACCGACTGCATTCACTCTCTCTCCTGCACATCAAGTTTTACCCTGCACTGGATTTTCCGTTTTAACATCCAGCATGTTGAATTTCTACCTTTCTTTAAAAAGAAAAAAAAAAAAAAAGAAAGAAAGAAAAAAAAAACTCCAGGAGCCGGCTTTGTGACACAGCAGGTTAAGCTTCTGTTTACGATGCTGGCATCCGTATCAGTGTGCCAGTTCATGTCTTGGCTGCTCTGCTTACAATCTAGCTCCTTGCTAATGTGCCTGAGAAGGCAGAAGTCGGCCCAAGTACTCGGGCCTCTGCCACGCATGCGGGAGACAAGGGTGGAGCTCCTGGCTCTTCAGCTCACCCTGGCCTACACCTGGCTTTTGCAGCCATCTGGGCATGAACTGGCAACGAAGGAAGATCGATCAATCTCTCTTGTGCTCTCACTCTCGCGCTCTGCTTTTC